TAAAAGTAGAATTTTACTTAATATAGTAATTTCCTTTTAGAAATGTGTTTGTATTCAAATGACATAGATTTAGCAAATCCATGTGACTGTGTAAATTCAATACATTTATATTTTAGAATTTAATGAAAATTCTGAACATGTGCATTGTACTTAAAATTTTGGAATACCATTGTGCACTGAAAGCAATGTTGAAGTACCAGATAGAGAAAAGCATTAGAAAATGAAGATATTCCCCCCAAATGATAATGCAGTGAGATCTGATGGTAATAACCTGAAAAAATGTTCTCAGCTTCTCTTTTAGACCATTTTCTCTTTCATAAGATATAATTTTAAAATAGCTACTGTGTATTTAATCTGAGTGTGATTCCTTGAATAAATTCTTTAGTAAGCTTTCAGTGGCACTTTTGGAAGATGTCCAGGAAAGCAGCATTCATTTTTAACCTGATTTAACAAAGATTGATAGGAAGCACATTTATAAACAAAATCTGTAGTGACTATGCATCAGCGCTGCCTCACGTCTGGAAAAGCAAGAGCCTTCAATCAGAAGCTGCTTTCCAAAATCGTCTTGCCCAGAGTTAATTTTCTAACTTCCATGTCTTAAATTCTCAATGTTTATTTCTGCAGACCTTCACATAGAAGGTAGGGAAATAAATGTTTGCTGCTCTGGGAACTTTATGTTCAAGTAACAATGAAGGCTACACAAAAACTAAAAAGTGTTGCCACCATGGTAATGTTTAAAATTTACTTATTGGTGTTCATAAAGTTTGAAATGCATAACATACATTTTAAAAGAAAAGATATTCCCCAGCTTCAAAGAGAAACATTGTTCAACTTACCCAACCACATTTTCAGTTGAAGAATCACATCCTAAAAGAATGTACAATTTTTTAAATGCTTATTAACACATAACTTACATTATTAGGATTTAATACAATTTGTCTGGTCAGGGTGTCCTATGGGACATTTATTGATTTATAAAAACTGATTTAAAATATAAAAGAAAGGAACACATGTATATTTTATAGAGTGTTCTTGAAGGAAGCCATTTTCCTTGAAATAAAACATATTTATAATACTTTCTAGGAAGATATTGTCAAGGTTAGTCAGCTTCAAATTTCACCCTTCTTGACACTGAATTCCTACTTGAAAGGATTGTGTTCATCATTGTGTGTGTGTGTGTGTGTGTGTGTGTGTGTGTGAGAGTGCGTGTGTGTGTGTGTGTGTGTATAGAGAGATAGACAATCGATAATCAATTTATAGACGTTATAGAAAAAAAGCACTCACAGCTTCAATAGTTACAGGCAGTATGGAGCAAATAGGTCATGTATAAACTAACATTTAATAGGAAGTAATTATAGAATAGCCCAAATTATAGACTATTATAAAAGAGTACAATTTTAGAACTTGTAGGCATATTCTCAGAATGAGTAAACTTAGCCTTAAAAGTATTTTTGAACCATAGGTTACTAGTGCCTAAATTATTTGTGTTGACTTTTCTAAATGTTTTAAAAACTCTCTGAAGTTATTCATTTCTTTATCAAACATGTGTATCTTGCTGAAAGCAGAATAAAGACACACTCAACCTATGACAAAATTATCATTAACTCCAGCTGAGCGTTAGTGAGATTTCACTGTGTGTGTTTTTGTGAATGCATCAATACTTGCTCATGGCATGTGGAAACTTGGAAGGAAGGAGAGAGTTTCCTATTACATTTCGAAGGGCTCAGTGGCAATATGGGTTGGTATATGTGAAAAAAAAAAATCTACATTTGTAAAGGTAAGTCGAAAATTAGAAGTCAGGTGCTAAATTGCTCCTATTTAGAAATGACATTGACAGGACCCCTCTAGAAACCTCAGAGGGGCAGAAAGTCAAGAGGACACCTACCTCTTTGAGATTATTTGCATAAGGAGACCCAAGATGTTAAGGAACAAAATCCTGAATGTCTTCAGATTTAACAGAAATTATAATTGCATGTATGGACAATTTCAGTTTTTAAAAAAGTTGTTTTCTTGTTCTTTTCTCTAATGCAATTGAAAATTTAAATTAACCTACAGGTTAATCAGTTTTCTTCAAACTATTCTAAAAATCCTAAAACAAAGGATTAGCGAGTCCATATTTAATAGTTTCTGAAGACTCTTAGATTTAAATTAATTTTTTATATTGCTTACTGCACAGCAGGAAATCACATGTAGAAAAGGAAACTAAATTGTTTACAGTAACCTTCGTGTTTTTGAGTCACTAATTTAATTTGAAAAATGGAGTGGCCAGGCAGAAGTTCAATAGGAAACATAGGATATGTAATAAGCCTAAGCCAACATTAGATTAAATAGAAAAGATAGAAAGTAAAGACCTCTTCAGAAAATGAAACGTGTGTGTGTCTCCTACTTTTCTTGACTCACAATGAAAGAAATGTAGCCACCAATAGTAAAGATAGATTCGAGGAGCATTTGCTGTGGGACTAGTGTGACCGATGCATGCCTCTGCTTGTTTCCTTGTTAGGGCTTCGAGCCAGAAGAGATTCCAATTTTAAGTACCAATTTCCCTTTGAATTACTGAAATTGGAGCTGCCTGATATGAATGACTTCCCATGAAATGAAATTAGAGTTAGGCTCACAGACTTACCTATAAAACTGTAAATGCAGTAATATGTATGCATGAGCATGCTACTAATTTCATTGAAGACTTAACCAAGCTTTCTATGCAACTAATATAGACAATTAGCAGTGTTCACGTAGGCATGGAATCATGATTCTCTTCTCTGGAAAGAGTTTCTGTAGTTATCTCTTGATTTTAACCCTTAAATTATTACTGACGTAGGAGGAAAAGGCAAGAGATGGAGAGGGTTCTAGGGAGAAAAACTGAGTCACTTTCTCACGTAAATGCGTAAGGAAATTTATGATCAGTTCTTCGGAAAATGAATTTTGGTATCTTGATGTTCCGAAGTTTATATGGAGGAAACAAATGCGGGGGGTAATGTCAGTTTGTCAAATTGAATGTTGCACAGAGGCAAGAGAAATTCGTTTGGATTGGAAAAAGTTGTTAATTTTGCTGTGAACATTGTGCAACCAAAGTAACCCTACATCCTCTGGCTTTACATTTATGAAAAATGTAGGTGATTTGCCTGAGTACCCTGGACTCAAGGCAAACGGAACTCTCTGTTATATAAAATGCCTCTTTATCATTGTTACTAGATGCACTATCTATATATCTAGATCATCTATATATATAGATATAGATTTTTTATATCTAGGAAACTTCATTTCCTTAAGAGGTGGCAAGTTTCTTTTTTTAAATCTAAATTCTTGAAATATCCCAGGAGCTATCAGAGTTTTGAGGGCCGTGAAATTAATCAGAAGTAAACCTACATCCATGCAGTAAGTGGCCCAAAGTAAATCTCCAGATATGTCTGTTCCCCACGCTGTTGAACCCCTCTGCTGTTGGCAGACATACTTCATGTCTCCTTTATTCCACAGGGTCACCCTGTGAGGCATTTATCAATATCATAAGCATTTTGTCAACAAGAAATTAACTTGTCCAAAGTCACTGAACAGGTAAATGGCAGAGAAAGGACCTGAAACGAGGATGACTCCAAACATACTTAACCTCCTCCTTTCCCTTCTCTATATGAGGGGCTTTGTTCACGTGCAAACTGATGCTTCTGTAAGAGAAATACCCCTCTACCACATGTTTTCAAACTTAACAGATGCCTTGTCATATTTGGGGGACTGTCCTGGTACATCTCTAATCAGTGACCAAGGGAAGAAAGATAGACCACAGAACCCCTGTTTTTATCCTGCCCCTCCTTCCCACCTGCCTCTCCACCACCCACGCACAAATAAGGAAATCCTGAAGGGCCGCACATGATGAAATTTGGTTAACAACTTTTTGTTTCAAGAATGGAATGGGTCCTTTCCAGAGGTTTTTGGTTTTTTCTGTTTGTTTGTTTTGGTTTTTCGGCCCCATTTCGTCACTTGAGCCTGTGCAGGTTCTGCTGGTCCTGCAATCCCGGTCCCTCGTCAGTCAGGTCTGCCAGGACTGTGGGCTCTGAGCACACAACTTTGAGTCCCTTTCCCTGGGCAGCCCTGCAGCTTCCCTGGGTGCCTGTGCCCTTCAGCTGTCATCTGGGCATCGGAGCTAAGCACTGGGAAGTGATCATCTAATTGGCTCTTCGTGATTTGAAGAAGTAGTAAATTAAATTTAACTAAAGAACCCAGGAATTGCATCCTCCCCCCACCTCTTTTTTCAACCAATTGAAAAAGTGAGGCATTCAGAGCTTTCCTATGCCACACAGGAATTATATGGAAAACTAGAAGCAGGCTCCAGTGCCCCAGTGCCCCGTCTGGCTTTTTGAGCAGAAATGTTTGCTCCTTGTCATGTAAGTGGTGGAGAGAACAGAAGGTTTGGAGAAAAGGAAATAGTTTTAAAAAAATAACTAAAGCAACAAGAAATATTAGAGCATAGCTATATAAATCCATTGTGATGAAATTTTCCAACCAAATTACTTGGCATCACCTCCTAGCTCTGCCACTGTGTGTCTTTGGGCAAAACAATTTCACCTCCCTGGAACTTCAAGTCTGCCTTTTGAAAAGAGAAGAATGAAATAATGCCAAATGCTGTCTCTGATGATAAATACAGTATTCTATTCCCAAATAATGAAACAGCATAGAGAAGAGTTCAGCCGTACAACTTCTCCCTCAGTAAGGTCTTTTAAGGGTTAATAAAGACACAGTGTGCTGGTATTTGCGCACCTCTTAAAAGAGAAGTTCCCTCTGTGGACTCATGGGGGCGTACCTGAGCACTGCTTCCTTAACCATCCGCCGTTTGTCTGTTCAATGTGCACGCACAGAGCCATAATAGTCGTGTGTAATGTGTTTTGGAGTGCGGTGTATTGCTCTTTTCTGAAACTTTTTCCCTTTCTTTCTTTTTTTTTTGTCAACTTTCTGCATTGGCAGAGCATCTTGGGATTGAATTTATGGGTATGGACCAATCATCATTCCTTTTAGCCTGCAGAATTTAGAGCCTATGAGCTGAAACCCTTTTTTTTTTCCCCCTGTCTGTTCTTCCCTTTCAGTTCCTAACTAATTTCCTTTCTCTTTAGAAGGGATCATACAGCTATAACAGTGATTTCTTTGCCTTCAATCTATGGTTAGTTTACCAACATGGTACTGAGTGCACCAGCTTTTAGATTCCCAGTTTTCACTTAGAGTTTAAAATCACCTTACCTGCTGCAAATTCACATATATCCCATGTTCTCTGACCCACTGGTTGATCTGGCCATGCTGTTATTTCCGAGCTGGGGTACGTTGGAGTGGTTTACAAGGCTGTAGGAAGAACCAAACCAGAAGCCTGAGAACAGAAGAAGCTTTACATACATCAGCGTAAGAACGCTCCATGTTTTAGGCTGATGGGAGCTTGACATACAATGTAAAAATCATCTATTAATATAGTAACATCTTAATCTGCAACATATTATATGCATAGACTTGGATTACTCTGGTTTTCTGGAGATACTCAAGCACTGCTCCAGTCGATTTCATTATGTCATGAACAGAAAACAGAATGAAATAGCCTTGTGCTATTTTAGTTGGAAATTCTAGTACTAACAGAATTAAACTTGAGTCACTATATCCCAACAAGTAATCAAATAGACATTTTCACACTGCAAATGTAAAATATCTCCTATGAGCATGTGAATTGGGGGCAGACTTCTTTGGAAAGCCTTCACCCTAAAGAGTCGGGAGAAAAGGCCAGTCTTGGGAGGAAGGGGAAGCCATTCTATTCTTCCAGAGGCTCCACAGTGCAGGTCCCCAGGAATGTGACCGTTGGTCAATAAAGCCATGTCCTGATTACAGGAATATCTGGTCCCCAACCAGCTGGTGTCAGTGACATCATGCGGTGAGAGCATCTTATAGCTGTTGCTTTCATTTCAATGATAACATCACAGTCTACACCTAATGTACTTCCCATAATTTGTGGAAAATCAGGTTGTTACAAGCTCTATCCATTCCAGGGATAGAAACTCAATTAATTGCTCATTGCCCCCAAAAATATTCCAAGAGAAAACTATTCATTTGATGGGAATAGCCCCACGTTCATGTGAGTGGTCCTTTGCACATCAGAGAACGTCACCCAAGAGTAAGGAACACAAGAGGTCCCACCAACATCCCGCAGGGGGCAGGTGGTCTACACGAGGGGAGTTATCTACTCAGGTTACTTTCCTTGGGATAAAAATTATCCCACTTCGAAATAGACTTATTGGCCTTACCTGAAAGGAAGAAAAAAATACCACCATCACCTCCCCTCTTCTCCCTAACAGCATCTTTCCTGCTTTATCACTTTAGGGTATAATTATTAAATTTAATATTTCTCTTCCCAAACAATGAAGTAGGGTGATGGATATTTCAGATGTATAACCTCCCTCAGTAAGATCTGAAGGGTTAGTAAAGGCACACTGATGTGGTACCCACACCAGGGGTTACCTTGGTAAGCTTAAGGTTTGACCTCTTAAGGGCAAACCTTCCAGAGGTTCCAAAGTCCCCAGCCAGCCAGAACATTCCATCCTTAAGGAAAATCCGACTTTAAAGGTCAATTAAAATTGAGACAGCCAAGGCTTCTGTCTCTTGGCCTAGCCAGATCAGTCTGAAAAACATGCTTGATCTGGTTCATTCGATGCATCCAGCCAAACCATAAGGACTCAGAAGTGTTGCAACTCATTAATAAGGCAGATCCGCCAACGAGCCTGATGGATTCTTTTTTTCAACGCTGCCTCTAATCTGTTCTTGTCCTATTGACCCCGTCACACTAGGAAAAAAATAAGGGGCGGGGAAGGGTTTTTTAAAAAACTCATTGTTTATATTATTGTTCATCAGGTATTTCTCTTTGAACACATTTATTTTGTGAGGGTCACCTGATCTAGTAAACCACTGGAAAATCAGAAACTTAGATGAAAAACATTTAACGCAAACATGCTGATGTGAATACAGAACCCTGATCCACATCTGTGTTCTAGGGGCCTTGGTTTTAATTAGCTCATTTAGCACTTTTCTTTTGCCCTTTGGCCTTTACTGGGCTGCCTTTCTATTTCCATGATTGATTTTCCTGGAAAAACTGTGTCTTCTGACATAACCTAGGAAGAATGGGCAAGTCATCATATACGATTTGTTCACAAACCCAAATTAGTCTATTTTATAATTAACCACCACCAAAAAACTTGCCAAAGAGGCCGTGAGAGGCACGATGCCTTTCCCCCTATGGCCCTTGGCTAGGTCCTCTTTTTGCAGTGTGCAGAAGCAATTTCCCAGGTTTCTCTAAAGATAGAATGGGAAGATGGCAATGCTGCCAAGTGCTTGCCATTTGGAAAGAAGAAAACAATAGAGTAAGCGAAAGAGGTATAGTAGGGTCTTCATTTTCTAGGCAATGACACTTTCACACTTCTGGTTGGTAACCAGTTCATCACAACCAAAGGATCCCTGCTCCGTGTCCTGCATCCCTGGAGAAGGACCAATGGGGCGATGCCTTTGCTGCTTAGACTTAGTGCTGAAAACTGATCCGGGTGCCCGGTCCAGGCGGAGGCCCCAGGGGCATCAGCTCACAGATTAACACCTTATGAAATTGAATTCCCTGTCCTGTGTCTATGCGGGAGGGGAGGTAGGAGGCAGCAGACACTCGCAATTAACATACAAGCATCCACGTGCCACGTCCTCATTTGACTTTTGCGGCACAAAACTACGTGACACCGCTCTATGTCTCCTGGTCCGTTGTCGCCCCGCAATGCATCAGCTGCACCAGCTGCTTTGCTTTCTAATTGTGGCTTCCACGTGACCGCCACTCTAGGTTAGGAGTTATGCTGTATGGGATAACCCTTCCAAATCTGCATCCACCTTTCCTCCCACCCCAGCACTTCCTCCCTCTGGTTTTCTTTTATGTATTTATTTTTCCTCCCTTAGTACCAGGCATGCTGTGCCAGGGACTTCAGATTGCTCCTTCACTTCTTAACCTTGTTTTCCCTCCTACCTGGCTTCCTCCCTCTCTCCGTCATTCTGTCAGCCCGTCTGTCCTGTCCGTTTGTTTCTTTTCCACTTCCAACACTTTTGGTTTGTTTTTGTATAATCTCTGCAGCATTCTGGTCTCTTACTTCTTTCTCTTCCTCCTGTTAATAATAATCAGTGCTCTTATTAATTTGATTTGACAATGTTCCTGACCTGTTAACTGGAATTTGATTACCATGGGCTTGGCTTGTAGGAAATGTTTTGTTTAATGATAAAGTCTACTGTATCATAGAAATTACATTGCATTTTTTCATTTCAAGAAGACTTCCAGCGACTTGCCCTCTCTCAGCAGAGAAAAAAAGTGTGGTTGCTGAGACAGAGAATGTAAACTGAAAATGTTCCATAAGGCCCCATGTTGATGTCCAGATAAGAGACCTTCATCGGTAAAATATTCCCCAGTTCTTGACCAGCTTGTTAATCAGAAGAGCAAATACAGCTCACCCCGCTTATTATGCATCAGTCGAGTTCTCTTTCTCATTGAACTCGTGAATCTCTCCCAATAATACGTGTGATTGGACTGGTTGGAAGCTTAGCTCCTAAGAGGATCAGGTTCACCATTAAATCAGCCAATATTGTTAAGAACCTGACCTACCATAGTCTAAGCAAGTTAGCCCCACAAAACCCAACTGGCAAATAGAAAGCCTTCCATGAAGCAGAAACTGGTTGCATTGGGGGGTACAGCAGTACCTTCACCTGGAAGTTCTAAGCATCCCATCTCCTTAGTGCAACCGACATTAGCTAACTGGCCAAGTTGGTCAATGCAGGAGAGTACAATCTGTTTCAAATCATGTATCATTTTGTGCCAGTGGTTTTGTAGTGCCATAAACTAGGTCTCTAAGTACAACTGGTGAAGTAATAATAATTGTTCCTCAAAGGACAAATCTTCATCATGGCCCAGGACGGGACGATCCCACCCATCGTATGGGGTTTCTCTGATACAGTGCCCTGCTATACTCCCTGTCATGGTGCTTACGTTTGCATTCTACTGTTAAGTCATAGGGATCCTGCATCAGTTTTGTTGCTAACTACAAGTCAAGCTCATGTTTGCAAATGTCTTTGATTTTCTCTTTTTTTTTTTAAGTTAGAAGTGGCTCTTTGTAAAGACCACAGGAATGGGAAATAGCTGGGAAATCCAAAGAGGCTCAGGGTGAGGGAGGGGCGGGGGCTGGGAGGATGGGAAGAAGGAAAGAAGGAGACAGAGGGTCCCAGTGGCGCCAATGCCGGCTCCTTTTACTGGTGTTGATTCCTGTTGTCTTTGCAAGAGATTTTAAAAAAAATAAAATCGACAGTTTTAACCAAATCATTATTTTATAATTAATGTTTATGATGTGCCAGTTTAGTACACATATATCTATAACTTATCATTAAAGTAACTGAATAGTATCATTTTTTAAATTATAAATGGCCCCCAACGGGCTTTGCCATTTTATGCTCAAACTGTAGTGCAGAGTATGCTGCACCTTAAGTACGTCTGCAAGAGGAATGAAGTGTCCCGTGTGTATTTCTTGTGAACATGGACAATACAGCATGCCAACTGTTCAGCTGTAAGTCCCGGCGAGGGTCAGGGACGCTTGCTGACGTCTGCTCTCGTCCCTTTCCAGAAGCGGAGGAGCTCTACCAGAAGAGGGTGCTCACCATCACCGGCATCTGCATCGCGCTGCTTGTGGTCGGCATCATGTGTGTGGTGGCCTACTGCAAAACCAAGTAAACGCCCTCCTCACCCCCTCCCCTTAGCGCACAGACAGCCTGGCCGGCAAGCTCCACTGCCTAGTCTTGAGAAAAGGGGGTGGGCGCCACAGAGGGACTTGCTCCTTATTTTTTTCCTCCTGAGTAATCCATTTTGAGGACCTTTCCTAATCACGTACATTAGAAAGCTTTGCCTATTTGTGTGAAAGTGTTCAGAAGACTTCTGATAATTGACCGCAGTCCCACGACCGAAGAAAGGGTGGGAGGGACAGGGTTGTACAGGGACACACGCAGGTGTCTGTGGGGGAGGAGCGTGTCATCTCACTGCTGAGGACACGTCCAACTGTACTCAGACTTAGCGGATAAAGGGAGCATTTGGTGCTGTTTGAAATGCAGGGGTTTTTAAAAAATATGATCGTGATGAATTTTCAATTCCATCTAATTAGGTGACCGGTTCCAATGCTCCCAAAGTGAGAGATGTACAAAAGGAATCTCACAAGAGGAGAATTAAGCAAAACTCGCTTTGAAAGAATAAAAGAGAAACATGAAAACAGATTTGTGTTTGCCTTGTTGGTCCTTTAAGCTGGGTTCATGTTAACAAATACAATTACCGTTTGACATGAATTCTTTTCATTTTTCTCTCATACGTAGAACTCCTGCTTCAAGGCTGAAATAATGTTATTAACAGTTTTGTTTTATTTTGTCACTTCATCATATAAAATCTTGAGCCAAAACTAGTCATGGGACTAATATTACGATCCAAGTTGAGGAACAAAGACAATATGCTCTTATGGTATAAAAGTAAGGGCATGGATGGCATTTTCTTAATGTCCCAGGATTCAGTGTGTTGCCAGAACTGAGCAAGCGATAGAGATAAACAAGCCCTCACGGAATCCCCCTTAGGAGTCGTCTTATATTCAATCTGAATACGTGAATATTCACTCCCTAGTTACAGAGAAAAGTGGTAATAGAGTAGGATCATATTATAATTGTGCCAAATCTACCGGCAAAATAAGTACGTATCTTCACTCACGTACAGTTCTATACATACACACGCTATGTGTGATGCACAGATTCAACACTAACTGCATTTTCTTGAAAGACACACAGACCGTCAAAACTATAAATGAAATCAACCTTGTCAGTTGCATAGCATGACTTGTTACCTAAGACAAATGACCATCCCTAAGACTTAGGCAAAGATGGATTGATTAGGAAAGTTGGGGTATTAGCCACCTCTCAACTTGACTTGTCTTTTTTTTTTCTTTCTCTCTCAGCAGTCCAGTTCAATTTCTGTAAGAATCCCATGCAGCTTCTTAAATCTACTTGCTAAGCATAGATGATTCCCCTCCTGAGAGGAAGTGGCACTGCCTCCCTCCTCCGCCCTCCCTCCCAAGCCACTGCCTTGAGTTGTGTGTTGATAGAAGAAAGAATTGACTGTACTGGAAAATGTAAATAATAGAAAAAATAAACGCTCCTTTTTTCCTATCCAGGAAGCAACGGAAAAAGCTTCACGACCGGCTTCGGCAGAGTCTTCGCTCTGAACGAAACAACATGGTGAACATAGCCAACGGGCCCCATCACCCCAATCCACCCCCCGAGAACGTGCAGCTGGTGAATGTATGTTGACTCTGGCCAGTGGAAAAGCTCAGCATCTCTCCTCTGTTCAGGCACCTTGAAGTTTATTTTCTAAAGCTCTTAGGCTCTTAGCTGCTGCCATTAATCACCAGGGCTTCCAGGAATCCAAGGTTTCGCCAAGAGAAAATAACGGGAACATTTTTTTAAGTGGATTTGGTGACTGTAAAACAAGCACGTTTCCTCTTATAAAGTGTTCATTAAGGGATCGGAATAATCATGTTGGGTTTGTTCTGTAGGGAAACCGTAACCAGAAGAAAGAACAGGAAAAAAAAAAAAAAGAAAGAAAAATAATAAAATTCATGATACAAGAATCAGAAGGAAATGTTTTATTTTTTTTTTATACTTTGGAAATGAAGGCTGCTTCAGTCTGTAACTGATTAGCCCTGATAACTGAACTAAAGGCTCTAGAGTCATTTATTTTTTTATTAGACTCATTTGTCCGGTGCCTGATGATTTACTGATTCTGATTAACAAAGGGAGACATTAGGGCATGAAAAGGTCAAGGCCATTACCAACCTTGCTTCTCAGTAGCCAAACTAGAAGAATTTAATACTTTCCAACTCTTTCTACATGATGCCAAACCGTCCAGAGGAAATACATCCTTCATCATTCGAAGATCTATTTTTTAAATTTATGGAGCATTCAGCTTTCAAATATAATGAAGTCATCAAATATTAGATTCTGAGAGTCTTTACATAGCTTTTTTTTTTTTTTTACAGATAAGGGCCAGGGCAGAGCTGGACTCAGCTCTCCTGGCTTCTGGAGTTCTACCTTCCTACTCCGCCATCATTCTTCCTGTTTTCTCCATTCCCCTCTGATGTCTGGCTTTTTATAGGCAAAGCTGGAAGATTATATTGCAGTACCATTTTCTATCCTATAGTCAAAGATGGGTTTTGTGTGGAGCAAATATATCAGAGACCCAAGTTCAGGGTTGCTGGAGGTTCAACCACCAGCAAGTCTTGTAGGAAAGACCTACAGGAGACTGTTAGGTGCTGATAAATTAACATATTGGCTGCTTTCCTCCCCCTACCAGTATGTTCATTGGAATGTTCTGCACAGTTGCTAAATTCATTCACTACTGACACACCTATAATCTGTCACTTTATATAATACATAGGAGGCAGAATGACTGCCTGGATTCCAATTATGGCTCAAGCTATGTTACTGTGAGCTTTGACTTTTCTAAACCCTGTTTCTTCGTCATAAAAATAATACCTACTTCAAAAAGTTCTTGCGAGCATTAAAAAGATAATCCGTATAAAACACTTAGCCCAGTGGCATCTAATGAATGTTGTATCATTTTTAAACATGATTTTCCTTAGATTCACTGAGCTTACATTGCCTTCCAAGGCGCAAGAGTCATTTGGTACGCAGACTAAAAATAGGTCGTTACATATGACAGTGCCATCTTTCTTTTCCTTAAAGCAAAGATCCACATGGAATAACCTTTCCATGGTTAAGAGAACCAGCCATAATTTCAAGCATAATTCAAGTTGCAGGTTTTTTTTTTTTTTTGGTTTCCATGAATATATCAGGTTCTTTTAGAGCCCATAACCCATCAGATTATAAACTGCCCTATTTCATCTAAGACTATTCCTATCCGTGTCTTTACCCGTTATTTAACTCAATTCGGTGTAAATACTAACAGTGTTTAAAAGACAATTTAAAGATGTCCCTCTCTCACTAATAAAAGGCGGTGACAGCTACTGTGATTTGGCGGTGAAAATAAAGTAGAATCTACTTGCACTCAATATAAGGCCCTCTATTATATGGTTTGTCAAGATGTGTAACCTTGACAACTGTTGTTAAGTCTTTCAAATCTCTCAGTAGCCCTGTTAGTCTTACCACTGACAAGTTAAAAATTTCAACGATATCATTAGGGCACCACGGGCACTGAGAAATTAAAAGAGAAAGATAGATTCAAAACAGAGTTTTTTTTCATTCTTCTAGTGACTTGAAATTTGAAACGAGACAAACCAGCTCTGTTCTTTTGTTGCACTCAAATATCTGTTCGTCGTTTTTGATTTGCAACAACTATTACAAAAATAAGTATTGGGCAGACTTTTGTATTGAATTCTAGTCATGTTATCAGTTGGAAACGAAAGAGAATAGGTCTGTTTCTGATAAAACGTAGTTGTGACTGTAGGACCTACACTGCACGCGTATCCCAAGAGCAATCCCTCAACTCCATTTACCTAATTTAAAGACCACAGTAGCTGGGATAGGTTTTGTCATCTGGCCACTGGAAACTGGAATTTATTACGAAGCATGTGTATTAGAAGTAGAGATTTTTGTGTGTGTGCATGTGACATTGTTAGCATTTTGACTTCCCTAAATCTTCAAGTTGTGTCTCTTTGTTTATCCAGCAATACGTATCTAAAAATGTCATCTCCAGCGAGCATATTGTCGAGAGAGAGGCGGAGACGTCTTTTTCCACCAGTCACTACACTTCGACAGCTCATCACTCCACTACTGTCACCCAGACTCCCAGTCACAGGTATGAGAATAAAAAATCGCAAGGCATTTCTCTAAGAACTAATCTTTACACATTGTCTTTTGCTCTCACTGCCTACAAAAGGGACAGGAGGTACTTATGAGGCAGTGAGGTAAAGTAGAGTGTATGGCTTGGGACAGAAACCGACTTTGGACGTCAAAGTGGCTCTGCCGCTTAACTGCTGTTTGAATTTGAGCCTCAATTTTTCCGTTAGCAGAGTAAGGGGAAATGACACCTACCTTATAGGATCGTTGTTCCTTATTTTAGAGATCGTCTTTTCTCATGCCTGACCATTCACAGAGTTACTACACTGGGAAGAGTTTGTCTTAGAGGCCGTACAATACTTAGAAGTTGACTTCTTCCAGTGGTTGGATTGCCCTGGGATATGCACATGAGAACTGGCTAAAGAGCTGAACCCTAAATTCTCAAATGCTCTGGTGATATCCGAATGCGTGCTACCAAGGGTAGCACTACACTTCCAAATGAAGCCCATGAGACAGGTGTTTCCTTAACCTAAGACACTCAAGAACAGAGAGACTCTAAGAATACTTAGTACGAAATGGCATTTGGTACATGTGTGTTGAATGGGTGAACACATGAATAAAGTGTATCCTTGCAAAGCCAGTCTAAATCAAAATCCTGTCGGTAGCAAGCAACTTTATAAACAATTCTATTCTGAGACAAGTACTATCGTAGTGAACTACTGATGCACCAGTCATTCGCAAGACTTGTCAGATCACTTCCTTTCATTTCCATGTGTGCCTATAATTAAAAATCTCTCTCTCTCTTTGCCTCTCACATTTCCTCTGTAGCTGGAGCAACGGACACACTGAAAGCATCATTTCAGAAAGCCACTCTGTCATCGTGATGTCATCTGTAGAAAACAGTAGGCACAGCAGCCCTACTGGGGGCCCAAGAGGACGTCTTAATGGCTTGGGAGGCCCTCGCGAGTGTAACAGCTTCCTCAGGCATGCCAGAGAAACCCCTGACTCCTACCGAGATTCTCCTCATAGTGAAAGGTAAAACCGAAGGGCAAAGCTACTACAGAGGAGAGAGCACCCCAGTAAGAGAATCCCCGTGAGCACCTGCGGTCCCACCTGAGGAACCCACTCTAATGAGAATAAGGGGCGGCAGCTGCCTGGTCTAGGAGTGCTTCTGGTTGACAAAGCCATCTTTGGGTTTGACTGAACCCACTGCTCGCGAGCTTCTCGCATCATCCCCGTGGCTGACAGGCAACAGACTTCTAAAGAGCTGGAATGATTCGATGTGGAAGGTGCAGCAAACTTGGAGTTCCTAGCTCTGACCTTAGGCTCAGACCCTCGGGGCGGCGGGGGGTGGGGGATGTCTCCGTTTCCTCAACTGTACCTTGAGAGCAGAATGCTGGCCTCAGTGATCGATCAGGACCCTTCTAGAATTCTAAGTGGCCAGTTATCCAAACTCTGGTCGAGCTGGACTCCCGGTCGCACGCATTAACTCTTCCTTACCTTCCAGCCTCACTTAAGTCAAATCAAGGGCTGTGTCATTGCTGACGGCTGTAGGGACGGCTCGCATCCCTCCAGATAGTATCCCTTTATGGCATTCCAACAAGGGATGACTCAATAAGTGTCTCGTATGCTTCACCTCGCGGTCTTCGCGGGAGGTTGGCAAGGCAGATATTGCCTTTGGGGTGGCCCTTATTCCAGAGTGTGTTGGCTTCCTTCTGGGGCTATAGGGTTGGGTCAGGGGGGCAGTCACAGCAAAGGTAAAATAAAGATCAGAGCGAAGTGAGCTGAAAGCGATGCTTAATAAGAATACTGAATTCATAGATTCTCCGGATCCATTTTCACCTAAACTGGGGGAGAAAGTTATACCCAACCAGCATTCCTAGCCCATCAGTAAGCTGTTACTTATTTGTTTTCAAATCCAGCGGGGTTTCTGTCTGTTGGTTTGTTGGTTTGTTGACTTTACTGTCTTCTCAGTCTAACCTCTGACCACTTACTAAAAGGTTTACATCATGCCGAAGCGATACTTACTTGGTTTTCATGGGTGGAGATAATTTTGATACACCCTTCCACTCATGCACTGGGAAGTACTTACCCCAAAGGAGACCGGTTTGGAGGCTGCAGGTCATATAGAACCTGCTGATTACTTTTTTTCAAAAGCCTTTACCCCCAAATGGTATTTCAGAGTTCTACAGAATTAGTGGTTGCTCTGTAACTCATCTATGAAAAAGTAGACATGGTCCAAAACTGGTTTAAAGCATTAGTCTTAAATTCATGTAATTATATCTTTATGTATGAAGTCTGTCCTAATTCAGTCCTTTTAGAAACCTGAAAAAGAGTTTAGGGATAAATTCTGTCTTCATCACTACATGTGATATTTGTCTTTAAAGTTTGACACTTCCCTGCTTCCTTTCATACCCCAGATATTAGCTAGGACTGCAAGATATACCTGAACCTAGGCATCATGGAGAGAAAAGATGAGTCACTTTTATGGGCTGATTGGATTTGAATTAGCATTTCTCAGAGCGCTTAATTTAAGTATCCCCGAAACAAAATGTCTGGAGACTTGATCCCCAAATATTTCCATCTCTAGACACCTTCCCATTTTAGACACAGCCAGAGCTCACTTCCATATGACTCAGAATCACGGCTGATAAGCACAAGAGTTAATAGTTTCTTGTTTCTATTAGCTAGAGTTCAGAAGATGGTGTCCTGTGTCATCACAGGTCATGTCAAATTAGACTCTGCAAATGCCAATGTGAAGAAAAGAGTCCTTTAGTGCTATGCATTGGTGACATTTTTATCCAAGCTGAGAAATGTGACTCTGAATAAGCCACATCTTTCTCAGTGCCACATCAGGTCTTCTTGTTCTGGGGGAAGAAACCACGATATGGTAAAAACAGTGCGCTCAATGTCTTGACAGCTAGATTCACTGAGCATGATCAGACGTAACGTGACATAAGGCGACACGGTACAGCCCAGTCTTGAGCAGTCACAGGAGATAAGCCAGAGACGCATACAGCGGTGGGCTTTGGAAGAGAGGTAGACCAGAGATTGGACGGAACTATGAAGCCCAAAATAAGTTACCTTTGAAATGTCATGGTCACTGGAATGGAGAGTTGCAAATTGAATGTTAAGAAGTAACATTTCATGGAAAAGTTAAAAAAGCACATAAATGTGTTACACTGTTATCAGGAATAAATCTAAGTTACTATGCTCTTTTTTTTTCATAAGACATAACCTTATAGCTGAGCTAAGGAGAAACAAGGCCCACAGATCCAAATGCATGCAGATCCAGCTTTCCGAAACTCATCTTAGAGCTTCTTCCATTCCCCATTTGGGCTTCATTCTCTAAGACCCCTTGGCCTTTGGGAAGGTATAGTATTTAAGTAATACTTCTTTCCCTTCCAAATCCCTAAGCCTTGGTCCTGATAAACTGAGAGGTTTCCAGGACCCGGCGCCCTCTTGTCTTAACTCATGTGCTTTTATTAAAATTCATGACGAGATCCGAAAACCTCAAACGCTTTGATGAGCTAGGCAATTTAGCTGATCTTTGCATGCACTCCTGTGAGGAGACTCTTGGCTACCTAATTTGAGATTCCAAGGGTGCTGAATGTCCTAGTGTAAAAACCAAGAAGTGTACGATGAATAGAAATTCTCTGAGGATGATATCTGATGATAATATTGTGAACGATGCCCCCTGACCCCACCCCACCCCCCACCCCTGCTCTACGGCTCTCATTCCACCACACTTATGCGGGGTTTTCTCTGCTCACACAGGTATGTATCAGCAATGACCACCCCGGCTCGTATGTCACCTGTAGATTTCCACACGCCAAGCTCCCCCAAATCGCCCCCTTCGGAAACGTCTCCACCCGTGTCCAGCACGACGGTGTCCATGCCCTCCATGGCAGTCAGTCCCTTCGTGGAAGAAGAGAGACCCCTGCTTCTTGTGACACCGCCATGGCTGCGGGAGAGGGATGTCCAGCACGTTCAGCAGTTCAACTCCTTCCACTGCAACCCCGCGCACGAGAGCCACAGCCCACCCCCTAGCCCCTTGAGGATAGTGGAGGATGAAGAGTATGAAACGACCCAGGAGTATGAACTGACTCAAGAGTCGGTTAAGAAACTCACCGACAGCCGGCGGGCCAAAAGAACCAAGCCCAATGGTCATATTGCCCACAGATTGGAAATGGACAGCAACACAAGCGCTGAGAGCAGTAACTCAGAGAGTGAAACAGAGGATGAAAGAGTAGGAGAAGATACACCTTTCCTGGGCATACAGAACCCCCTGGCAGCCAATGTTGAGGCAGCCCCTGCCTTCCACCTGGCTGACAGCAGGACTAACCCAGCAGGCCGCTTCTCTCCGCAGGAAGAATTGCAGGCCAGGCTGTCCGGTGTAATCGCTAACCAAGACCCTATTGCTGTATAAAACCGAAATAAACCCATAGATTCACCTGTAAAACTTTATTTTATATAATAAAGTATTCCACCTTAAATTAAACAATTTATTTTATTTTAGCAGTCCTGCAAATAGAAAACAGGAAAAAAAATCTTTTATAAATTAAATATATGTATGTACAAATGTGTTATGTGCCATATGTAGCAACTTTTTACAGTATTTCCAAACGAGAAAGATATCAATGGTGCCTTTATGTTATGTTATGTCGAGAGCAAGTTTTGTACTGTTCCCGTGATTGCTTTTTCACAGTATTTCAGCAAACCCTCTCCCACCCCGCATATTCCGTTTCTGCTGGCTTCTTGTGCGTTGCATTATGACGTTGACTCGATGTATGATTTACAGGATTTGCAACTGTCCCTCTGTCCGCTTCAAGTAGTTCTCGATCAGTACGTCTTGTAATGGCACATCCATCCAAATACTCCCCTTCTGTGTGAAATATTCTTTTGCTTTCAGTATATGAAATGAGTTGTGTCTACGACTCTGCCAGCCAAAGGTCTGCTTCACTGGGCTCTGAGATAATAGTAGATCCAGCAGCATGCTACTGTTAATTACAGCAGGAAACTGCATTAAGTCATGTTAAATATTAGGAAGAAAGTAATATTGTGATTTTTTTTTTTTCAAAAACTGTATGATTCATCAGAAGACAGCTTGCTTGACAAAAGGAGCTACCATTTACTTTATTTTGATTGATTTTTTTTCTCGGCCAAAAAAAAAAGCAAGTTTTCGGGATAGCAGAGAAAATGGGTTCTGGCTACTGATCAGGGTAAAATCCAGCCCCTAAGGCGAGGATCGGTTTCACCTTCTCTCTCTGGGGGAATGATACAGCGGCTCATCTAGCTGAAGAGCAAACCATGGCTGGAAAAGGTGCAATCGTTCCTGACTTGTGTTTTTTCACTGATTTTGGAGCTAGGGACCGGTTGTGTCTTCTTGGCTCAAGGACAGACATATTATGGCACAAAAACCCCAGCTTCAACAGCACACTCAGCAATTTGTCTGAAGTACTTCTAGAGTGAAATGTGCCTGCTGTACATACTGGTGACGTCATCGTAGGGAAATTCTTCTTAGACTGTCTAGAGGAGTGAATACATAGAAGACACGGGGGAGAGCAGCTGTGTGACTTGGTTAGTAATTTTTAAGTTTTTTTGACCATTCCTTTGTCCTCATTACGTTTCTCTCATTTTTCAATGTTGCCTTGATTAAGTCATAACTATGCATGAACATTTTTGTCAGGAATGGCCAGTGTGCATGTGATTTCTGATTAGTAAGAACCTCCTACGAGTGATGATTCATCAGGAAATGGCAATAGTCTTGGAAAGATTGCACCTTTCCATGCAGAAATGACTCCCACCTGTGTGCTAACCTCTCTGTTTACAGCTGTATCACCCGTTTTCCCCCTTTCTTACTTTTTTGCTTTACTGTCACAAAAACAGGATTAAGATGGATCTATACTTTGCACGTTCACTTGGGATTGCCAATCCAAGGAAAGCCTGTAGGTAGAAACATTTGAAATAACTGCTAATCCAGGAAAATAAGAGAATTAAAAAAAAAAAAAAATCACAGCCCCATTTCTGTCAGATTGGGCTGGAGCTTTACTTACGTTCCAAGTGGCCTCCTAGGAGCCATGGAACAAAACGGGGAACAGGTTAGCAGGGGGTTCAAAATACCAGACATGAAGTCAAGGAGAGTGACTCTTCTTGTTTGCAGGTGAACTGAATCTATTTCTTCACCAAATCTCTATGTTAAAATTAAAGGGAAGAAGTGACATGCAAGGAGGTTTTAGAAGAAAAATGCAGGCTGAGCATGAGTCATGTCATTAAGCTCCTAAGTGTTTCTACAATCCACAGAGACACCTGTCTACAGGTCCTTGAAGTTACTCTTAGTATTTGGTATCCCAAGCATCCTTCATGGTTCCATGCCACTTTCTCTGCGCTCAGCGGTATCTTCATGTGCTTGTTCACCTCTCCTAAGGAGGCCCTGACAACTCTCCAGGTTGCACTGATTTCCCAATTCTGTAGAATCAGTTAAGCTCATGGCAGGGGAGAGAAAGCAGTCAAGCAGTGAAGATTCTCTAAATTACTCTAATATTGCATTTGAAGACCTTGACTCATTCTTAGTCTATTTCAATTAAAAAAAAGTCCCACTGTAATTAAAACTCTAAAATTTCTGTTTCAAATTCTTCAGGCATTTGGAGTCCCATTCTGGAGAATTTCAGGAATAAATAAAATCTTCTGTTGAGAGCAATGAACAACATTTTCCTCAGTATGAAAAATCACTGTAAATTTTCAGGTTGCAAAAATAGATGAAAATTGAGAGGAAATTTTCTTTCCAACTGGTTCTGGTCACTCACCGAGGTGGCATATCTGTTGGGACAGGCTTTCTGTCCATAGAATGAGAGGTTCCCTTGATAGGAAAGGTCAGCTGACTCCTCGGGGCTGCCTGCTGTGGTCCCCGGATTTGGGTTCCCAGAGGCATCTCCAGGATGTTTAAATGCCACCATCCCTGTTTATAAACTCAAGAGTGCAGTCGCAATCCAAAGGAGTGTGAACCTACGTTACCCGCATATGGGAAACTTTTGTGGGTCTTCAGGTAGCAGAAATTGCCCAGAAGTTGGACGGCGACTTTGTTTCCTGGGTCTGAAATCATATCCCGCTGAGAAATGTGGAGTGGAGCATAGTATATGAAAAACTCCTTTTTCTCACTCCAGATTCCTTTACTACCCTACTCTCCCTCCTTGCTTGGTAGGACTTTTGTTTTTGAGAGTACCTGGACAGTCTCGTGCTTTCTACAAAATGGCACTCTGCCTGGGTATTTATGAATGTGTCCCAAAGAGCAACATGCCGTATCTTCCTTATTTAAGTGTGACTGTCTTGATATGGTTAGAGTTTATCCAGGGTCATTTGCTCAGTAACTTTTTTTTTGGCCCGGGGTTGAAAGGTGCATGGCTCACATTGGTGAAAATAAGGAAGACCTAGTTTTATCTTTTAGTCCTGGCTGCTTCCCACCAGCCACAAAGATTTCTATCTACAAAGACCCATGAAACACTGCAGAGAGATGCAGTCAAAAGGAAACGGCCACATATCACAAGTTCTATTATATATTCTTTTGTAAATACACATTGTACATTACTTGGATGTTTCCCTAAATCATTTACTGTCTTTATGAGTCCATGTCAGTTTTTTTTTTACTCTCTCAACTTACTATGTAACATTGTAAATAACATAATGTCCTTTATTATTTATATTTAAACAAACACCTAACATAGAGTTGTTTTCATATAAGTTTAAGATAAATGTCAAAAATATATGTTTTTTGGTTCTCCTTTGCTTTAAAATTATGTATCTTTTCCTTTTTCTTTTTGTTTTTAAAGAATAATTTATTGTTCAGGAGAAAGAATGTATATGTAATTGAAACTATTTGAAGAATGCACATTTGAAGGCCGTGAGGTACTGATAAACTAAAGAATTTATTATCCAACATACTAAGCAATAAGCAATTGTGATTTATTTAAAAAGTTTTGTTCATTTTCCATGGAAGACAATACTGCAATAAAAATGCTACTCTGTGGAGATCTGGGAGTGTGGGTCGACAGACAAATTGTCCAGTCTGTTGGACCAGCACCTTGCCTTTTACTGTGACGGTTTTGCTAATGTAGGACTGTGTTTGATGGATCCCATGATCATCTTTTCTGTCCGTTGCTTTTGCCCCCCTGCCAATTCTTGAATCATCTTCTGCCTGTCGAGTCTGCCTACTACTGTGTACCTTGTTGAAGGAGTCACAACCAAGCAATATGACACTTTCTTTCCCCCAGTTCCCCCGGCCCCTACACACAAGAACATATCAGAGAGGCTATCATGATCGACGGGGTCCCGCTTGTTACCATGCTCTGTACAGACAGCAGGTAACTTCTTCAGACTCATGGCAATGTCAGTGTGGAGACCCATTCAGTCATGAAAGGGAAACTTGTTACCATGGTCCAGGGAGTCTGGTGGCCGCCATGGCCTAAAGGCACCCAGTCAGAACCAGGCCCTGCTAAGCTCTCCTAGAGCTTTAGTAAACGTATTTTCTCCATCAGGTCCATGATTTATCAATTCACAGTTTTAAGAGAAAATAAGGCTTCATTGGGTTCTTTCCTCCTCATTCTATCAGTAAAGCAAACTCAATGTCCATCCTACTGCTCAGGGAAGGGCCTATGCATGAGAAGTTTCCCACATTCTAAGACTTAGTCATAGAAATGAGGGTATTCCTTTTCTTCTTGAAATTAGTCTAAACAAAACAAAAGCCATATTTTAGCAAATAGATACTTGCATGGGTGGTACTTTTTGTATATTTCAAGCCTCTTCCTCATTCCTCCAAACAGAATCAGGACTTCTGAAGTGTATGGAGTCGAAGTCAGCAATCCTTTGAGATGACCACCGGCTTCCTTCAGAGTTTGAGGGTACCCTGAGTCTTCCCACCTACACATCTGGGTGCAGTTCCTATGACCTAGTGATAGATCCATTAGCGTCACTTCCGAAGCACTCTGGATGTCTAGGAGGTTCAAAGAGGGGACTTCGTGCCGGTTTTTTCTGTTTGTGTTACCGAATTTCCAAAACTATTCAGAGTCCTCAGATTTGTAGCAATGTTGATTTACACACAAACACACACACACATACAAATTCTTCACACACTCTCCTGAAGTTATGACGTTCACTCATGTCCAATCCACCCAGCCAGCCGTTCAGCACATCGAGGAGTGCACAGAATATTTAAAAATTAAAGACGAAGACACTTCGCTGTGTCTTCAACTTACAGCTGAGGCTTTGTCCATCCCCCGAGCTGAAAACCACAAGCAGCTGTCTCAGTAATTTCGGTTAAAATCGAGTCCGTAAGACATACTGATATTGGAGGTAGAAGCATGTGGGGTAGAGGGTGGCGTGGAGAGCAGCGAAGACGCACACGTAGCCACGTTCAATATCTGGATAATCATTCCAATCCTCTGTTTACTTCACTCACGTACTCCTGCATGTCAAACCCAGGCTGGCTCTGCAGACTAGCAAACAGTCTGTCTTTGCAACCTATTGTCTTCCCCATCATTAGATTTCTTGCCTTTCTGTCCTTATGATAAATGACAAAGGGGCTTCAGGCCAGAGATCTGGGGTGAAGTGAGGCAATTCTGAGATCGAGAGGTTTGGGATGCTGGAATGAGTGGAAATTTCTGATGATCTCATGTAGCATCGCTTTGCACTCTATCTCTGACTTGCTGTTTCTACAATGGATGGGTAAAATAAATCAATGGATACTCTTACTCCAAAAGACTAATTTGGCAGGAAACAGAAATGCTTTAAGTTTACAAAAGAGCCATCCTGCTGCTACAGGAAGCTGCAATATTCCTAACCTTTAAGGCTGTGGTACATAGTAGTCAAACCCACTCCTGCGTGTACTCCTACTGCACTCCTGGGATGGCATTTGTCAGACCTCTCCAGTGAGCCTTTGGTTTTGAACTTCAGTGAGCTCCAAAACATCACCCACCAGGGGGATAGGAAAAGGCATTTGTTACCTGGAGGAAACCTATCATGACCCACCTAATCCTTTTAAAAACAGGAGAGGGAGACCAGTAATTCCTAAAGAGGAAACAGAGACTAGTGTAATAGTTCCACCCAGGATCTTTCTCTAACCCTCCCCCTTCAAATGAACTTTTAGGGACGGAATTTGATGGAAGAAACAACACTTCTTCCCACCTCACAACATGCCAAAGAGGCTAGAGAATTACTACCTTTGTAGACATAAACATCTTTAATAGCTTATGTATGTGTTTGTTCATATTCAGAGAAATAAACTATTAAATATAATAACATTTTATAAAATTTTATGACTTAAAACATCCTGTATTTCTTTTTAATTCTCTTAATACGTTGGGATGTTGGTAGGCTAAATCATGAGGAAAACTTAGGCTCAGGAAGGCTAAGAATTTTTCCTAAAGCTACGCATCCGTCAGTTGCGGAGGTGATACTTGCACCCAGGTTTTCTGACTGTATTCCTCCTCTTCCCCCCCGAGCCAAGCACAAACAACTCTTTCATTTTCAGCTCTTGACCACATGGACAGTACAAGTTCCATGCAAAACCAAGTTTCTATTGGAAAGAATAGGAGCCCTTGGGGTGTGGCATAAAGTTACTCTGGAATCCAATCTGCTTGGCTGAGTGACTCTATGCCCCTTTCCCTAAACATGGCTTTCCATGGAAATGAAGTGTAGCCAGGGGGATAAATTCACAATTTCAATATGTAGGTAGCATCCTACAGTGCAAAGAGGAGGGGCTTTGCTGTCAAAGCTCTGTCCCCGCCACTTAGCGATTTTGAATTTGGACAATTTCCTCCTCCAAGCTTATTTCCTGATCTGTAACATGGGAATTCAAGTGACTTTACAAAGCTGTGGTATAGTGAGGATTACATCTGAACACACAGAAGGAAGCCAGAAAATGTCTAGCTCATAGTGAGTATTCAAATGCTACCTTCCACTTTCTCCTTCCCCTCCGGTTCTTTATTTTGGAAACTAAATATTTTAGTCCCAAACAACACACTTTCTATTGCACAAACTGATCGGTTAAACACTTTTTTTCGTATCTTCAATCTGGTGCCAGGAGGCAAATCCATTTTTAATAACAACTCTACGCTGAGCAGCATAATTATTGAAACAGATAGAAAGTTCTATCTTAAATAGGTTCTTTATTTTAGGAATTCGCTTCTTATGTAGCCACACTGTTTCCCATAAAGTCTCTGATTTTTTAATGGCTTATTGCATTAATGTTTCATTATAATTTCACGGAAATTTACTGAAACATAACACTTCATAGAGTTTTCATAATACTGTCTTCAAACTTCATGGCAAACATCTGATAAAACAAACACAAAAGGATCCTAAGTTGATAGGACACCCAGGCACACCCTTCTGCCTTAGCTTGCACCCAGGATGTTCAAACCAAATCATTAGATTACATCCAGGATGTCTATTTCCTTAAAAAGCTATAATCCAGGCAAAGGTCTACAGAGTGACAAAATTAGAGGCGTCAGATCCCAGACTAAGTCCTACACGTAAGAGACCACATTATTTATGGACGGTTCTCACCCACTTCCATTATCTAGCCCATAATTTTTCACGCTCTATTCCGTCTTTATGCATGTATAACAGGATGATTTTTCTCATCGTTGAGTATGAAGCAATGAATAATTTAGAGACTTCAGCTTTTTCGATTCCATTCTTTAAAACTGCCTCCTACATCAAGGATGGTGGGTGACTTGGTCTTACCATACCCATCATCAGACTTGTGGTATAGTTAATACGGTTATACTGCTAAAGGCAAGTGAGTCTAATATCACTGCCCATACATTATCCTTCATTTAAATAAAAATGTATTTCATTGAAAATAATCCTGACTCCCTCTAAAAAGAATACATGAAGAAGTTTTCTTATATTTTTTAAGGAAATAATCTAGGTGTAAACTTTGTATCCTGTTCATTATTAGTTATCATCAGGAGTTAAGCAGACACTTGTTTTCGATTCCATGACTTTCATTAGGTGATTCCTTCTTGCCTGACCTTGAGCCCTTTCTCTTGAAGTGAGGGGCTTAGACTGCTTCCCCAGGATTTGGGGGCTTCAAGCTAGGGTCGTGTTCTAGAGCCCCTGCAGTTTCCCACAGTTGAGCCTAAAGTGACCTTTCCGTCTTCTTTGGAGGAAATCTTCATTGGTGTGTACTTTAGCCGCTAATAAGGTAACAAAACAGACAATTTCCCCTTGGGTCCTAGACTCTCTACTATGAAGAATAGGGAAGAGAGAAAGTGCTATGGGTGAGAGCCATTTGTTCTGAGGTCCTGAATTCCCAGTAACCAGGTTCCTGCTGATTATAAGATAATTCTACTCTCATACGAGAATCTTCCTGCAAAGATACCATCCTCCCTTCTGAATAATCTTTTTTTCTTTAATAAAGACCTCCCTCAGTAACTCCTTAGTTTATAGACCATCTCTGATCTCTCTGACTTCAAATTCTGAAGTCATAGGACCATGTATCTTCACACTTTGATCAAAAATTTAATCTGAAATGATGGGGTTTAGGATTTACAGTAATTTATTAACCCAGGAAATCTACCTTGATCTGTTGTAGGCACTGCAGAAAATTTTAGGGCAGAGCCAGAGGGTATCACATGTCCTTGACCAAAAACTCTTTCACAACGTGAAATGATGCTGACTCCACCGCTCATTCTGAGTTCTGCTCTGTCTGTCTGAGGAGTTAGATCTCTGGCCAGGAGTGTGAGGGGAAGACCTTGCAGCCTTCCTGTTAATATGTTAATGCAGAGTTCATGAGACTCAGGGATCCACTCAGGGTCAAAATCATGCGAATGAGCGAGCAAAGGAACAACTAAGGGAAAACATCCCCTCTCCTGGCTAAGACAGCCCCATGTCACCCATGCAACAACCTGAGCAATACTCTAGATTTCTCCCTCCACATCTCATTGGTGACAATGGTGATTGTACCACTGACACGTCACACACAACCCTCCCTTCCTCCAGAGCCCCGCTGCTTGCATTCTTGGTCC